GCCTATGTGCTCAACAGAAATGATCATCTCTAGGTAGCATAACCATCAGAAAAGACCAACGGGAAAGAAAATATCGATCAATCGTTTAGAAGTCATCAGTAATTACAAAAGCAAAACAAAGCTAACGATGCAGCTTTAGTAATACCTAGCGAAATAACAGTCAGATCACCAAAAAGTGTTGAAGTAATCCAAATCCAACTGTGACATTAGCAAGTTTCATCTTTTCACACCAAAACAATCATACTGGGCACTCAAGCAACGTTCCCTAAAAACCATCGTCGCCTTTATCACAGGGTGTGGATAACGATCAAAGTACAGAATTGAATGGCAGGGCGAAGTTCAGAGGCAGCGCTCCCCTTTAGCAGCTACGGCAAACCTAAAGACCCGCTGTGAACCCTGAAACGGTATGCGAACGAGGCTTTAGTGGATTATTATGACATCATGACTAGTGGTCGCAGCCACTCAATAGTTAGAAATCAACTTCCGCTGTTCAGTCGGTTGACAAATGAACTCTCATCAGTGGAAGCCAATGGCGGCCTGTGATTCACAAGTAGGCACCGGGTCACAATGGAGTATTGTAGCTACTTTTCCGCGATCTAAGTCTCCCCTGATCCAAGGAGACGGTATATAAAAGGGTAACCAATCGAAAGACATATGTACTTCCACTACTGCGACGGGGTCTCAGCAACTGGCTCGTCGACGCGGTGGCGTGATAACATTGTTCTGATTGGAGCGACTATCCTACATAATGATGATTAAAGCAACGTTTAATTTTCAGCATCAGCAACTGAGTGAAGGATAAGTTACAGTACTTTAATAGGTAAAGAATGAACGTCGATGAGCACGAACAGAATGCTGAAAAACCTGAGACAACTGAAAATAAAACCTTGCCCAAGCCAAATCAATTCAAAAGCAAACAGCTCATGAATCATACGAAACGACACACAGGAAGAACATCTCCCTTGGTGGAAAGTGGGAACTGGCATCCTCAGCGAAAGAAACTTGTTAGAACATCAGCGAGGCATCGAATCCCGCAACAACGACCATCCGTTGGTCACCGAGAAACTGCTAAGGAACGCGAATGGACTGAAAGCTTACTTCACGACTCAAATTTTGACCGGTGATAAAGGAAAACCGTTAATAATGTAAACCATTAATAAAAAATAACCATATTGTTCTAGGAACAACGAAAAAAACGAAGAAATCATCAACAGCGATTCATCAACAAATAAAAAATCACTTCTATTCTAGAAGTAAAACCGTGTTATTCAACCTTTACCGCTTTAGTCAACAAAGAACTGATAATTGGGAACGAACAGTCACTTTCAAGCATCATAAAAGTAAACGAATGATTACCACGATGTTAAAACATCTGAGCTTCTCTTCAAAATCTTCAGATTCAACCAAATTTCGCTAAAACACGCAATAATTTAAAAAACCTTCCTGTCTCTAACAGTTTAAACCTTACTGAAACAACGACCTGAAAATTTGTCGAATCCTGCAGTGGTGCTGCCATTATATCCGGAAAATTTAGCACCAGTTCTCTAAAGAGAAATTTTTGTTTAGCATGTTAACATCAATGTCAGCTGATAAAACAAACACCAGTTTCTTCAACTAAAGTAGCATAATGAACATACATAGCGTAAGAGATTTACAGGAGGCTGTTGCCTAGGCTACGATAAATAAATGTTTGATGGAACATAGTGTATGCATGATACCCAGAATTTAGTCAATATTCTCAAAATCCACAAATTTTGGTAAACAAAAATGGCTTCGACGAAGCCGAGGAAAGTAAATAACTAGTAGTGAACTAGCTGAAATTGTATGAACAAAAAATGACCAAAGCGAAAGTCTGAGGTACGCAAGAGAACGTATCAGGGAAACAAGAAGGAAAATGCTGTGAAAAAAGCGGGAAGGACAAAAACTATTACCATTTTAAACCAATGAAAAAACAAGTTTTCAGTATCAGTGTTTCGTTGCATTCAGAAGTGGTTTGTATAATTTGTTTTTAGTTAAACAATGCTCAACTTAGACTAGCTATTGAAAATCTTACTTCAGGGATGCACCTTCTACCATGTTTAAACCCAAACGTAGTGAGAAAAATGTTTGAATAGGAAAAACAGGAAAGTATGTACCGCTGGAATGTCTAACGCAGCTACACTGACATGATTATCG